AGGGCAATGCTCTCCCTCGTGTCAGCATCGGCTGTGGGGTATCCTCGCATGACAAGGCGGCGGATGTCCGCCACATATTCAGTCAGACTGTCTTTTGGGGACAGTTTCTTGGCTTCAAGTAGAGTGAGCCATGCGTTCTGAGTTCGCCTTTCTGCGAATCGGCTTTCCAACGCTGAATTGAGTTTATCAAAGTCATTGACAATGGAGGAGTCGAGTTGTAAAAAAACGAACTCGGCAGCCTTGCCTTTGAGGCTGCTCATGAGACGAAATTTCTTCTCCTCCATTGACCATTCACAGGCCTTTGCGAGGGCCATGAAAGGTCGAATGAAACCTTCCCATGCCCCAGTTCCATTGAATTCACCCTGCCTGGGTAAAGGGACTTCAAAGTTTTTGCTGGATTTGTCCATTTTATTAACTCGTACTGAGGATTCAAGGGGCTCAAAGTCTTTCACAGGGGAAAGTGTGGCGGTGGATGTGAGACTGGGTTGCGCTGGGGAGTCGCTCAGCAGATTCGGTGACTTCTCCGGCTGGGACTGGGGTGTAGAGGGCGCACTCGACTGCGTCAGTGCGGTGACCCGTCGCTCTGCTTCCGCAGCCCGCTTCTCTGCCTGGTCAAGTCGCTGCCTGAGAGTTTCCAGCTGGTCCGTGTGGTCGGCCAGGGTGACTGACTCGAGGGATAGGTCAAGGTCATCTCCCGCAGCCGAAGCGTTCAGCCGCCGCGATTTTTTGTACTTCTTCGGCATGGTCACTAGACGTGCAGGCTGCACGTACACTGAGTTCTGTGGTAGTTCAGAGAGTTCACGAAGGAGTGGTTGCTATAGTAACTCGGGCATATAGAGTAACCGCAGTCGCACAGTTTCGTGTATGGTACATGTACACATGCATATGACTCGCGTTCAAGCTACTTGGTGTTGTAACTTGCTTGAACAAAGCTAAATTCGAGCAATAAGTGTGATCGAGTAGTATTACATGTACTACAGTATACTGACATAAGTTTAGATCCCACCGCTGCCGCCAG